TTTTGCAGTTATTCGAAAAGGAGGATGACGAGGAGCTTTCGAGAATCGCAGAGCACCCGATCTGGAGTGGAGTGCGGTCCGAAGTGGGGTTCCGCGTCTAATTCCAAATCCACTTCGGCAGGAATTGGTCACGGCTATTGCCATGCGTGGAGATAGTCGGATATTATTTTTTTCCCCCTGGAGGCAATCCTTGACGAATCGAAGCGGAAATTAACGCGGTCTATCGATTGCGTCTGCCGTTCCTTGCGTTCGACTGCATTTTCTCGTTTCTATCCTTTTCATATCGTCTTTCTGTATTCGTCGACATGAGACTTTACACCATTATTAATTCGCTTATCGACATAACAGGGTCGTGATTATATTTGCGAAGTTAAGAAAGAAACTAAATCGACCAATCTGTACTTCACGTTTCACGTGCGTGCGTTCGCCATCAAAATGAATTATCTCGCTAACTCAAAACCTTCCGTTTAAGATAAAAAGTAAACGAATTAAATACTTTGGAGGTTTAGATATCATTCACTCTGCGATTTATTCCTCTGTAATAAATCAGAAGAATTACATAACGTGAAATAACGCTGTCATCATACACGTAGGATATAAAAGCTCACGGATAAAATTGCGCACTTCTTTTAATGAGTTCACCTACAGAATAGCGTGAAAAAACTAAATTTTATCCGCAGGAGGATTGATTCGCTCTAACTCCGTGAATGTAATATAGGTAACGAAATTTGATAAGGCCCGTCTTATCTCATACGCACTCCTCTAACGGCTTCTATTCCCTAATTAGCACGCCGATGCCGAAATTGGAAACAGACGGAAAATTAGTCGATCGCGCCTGGGCGGCCGCGCATGGCGGATGCGGCCATGCTTTCCATCCCTCTTTTCCCCTCGTGATTTCAGTCCACGCACGAATCCACGCACTATGCGCCGCCCGCGCACGTGGCAGATGTTCAGTTTTATGCGCTCACGCATGCGTTCCCATCGAGAGGTCCCCACCAATCCCAATTTCGCTGTCCCTCTACTCGTCCCGTATCGATATACAGCTCGTTCCCTCGATTCACCGAAATATCGAGGAAATTGCGTTGCCTTTTGTACCACGAGATAGACGCTCTTTGTTAGAGCACGACGCAAAATATTCGCGGACTTCGTATTCAATTCCGTTTTAAAATGCAAATTTACACTGCTATCGACTGTATCACGTTCAAAATACAAGTATAAATATTGATCTTCGTTTAACAATGCACGTTTTTTAAATATTTTTGTATTCTGACTAAAAAGATTTTTAACTTGAAAAACAATACAGAAAATACCACGTGTATGTACGTCGTATTAAAACAAAATTATTCCTAATGTTCTGCTCAAGACAGCTTGCTTTGCACGCTCTTTAGCTAAAAGTGCACGAATTTTTGGCTAGCTATTAGCAATGTCAATAATAAAATTTTAATTCTCCATGTTGTGAGAATAAAACAAAATAACAGAAGTTATTAGTAATAAAGAATTACGTAACAAAGTATTAGAAGCAATCCGCTACTCTTTTATAAACTTAAGAGGTAATAAAGAAGCACATTTTCAACATAGAATCGGCAGAAACATTTAGTTGGTATCCTTTATATATTTAATAACCAAATTATTGAAGTAAAAGAAATTCAACTTTATAAATAACACCATGCTTGTCAATGTGGTAATATTAATAGGAAATGAACAATGCCATTGCAAATTTATTTAAAGAAATATAAAAAGCCTTCGTAAATCTTTCGCCAGTTAAAAACTCCGTCCCTCTACATTAGTTTTCCATCTTTTAAACGTTCTTTGCGCAACATTACTCAATATCTAGCGATTGATCAATAAATTGTTTTGGTTTTACATAGAGTTTCTGCGCGATAATCTCGTATAGCTTATTCTCTTCGAGTCGTATAGCCGCAGTCGCAGATAATGTCGCGGGCATATCTAAGAAGGCGGAGTTGTCGAGGCTGAACGCCCATTACACGACTTGAATCTCATGAGGCGTAACGAAAACCGATCTCCCGGCGTAACGTCGATCTCGATAAAGGTTATTCAGTATCGAAGGTGCTAATAGTCGGCTACGCGATTATTCGAATCTTTCCGTTCGTATAGACGTATTGTAATAATAAATATAAAAGTATCACGGAGCGGACCCGATCGAGTTACGCTCATTTCAGTCGATCACCGATCGCGAGCACTGCTATTAAGATCTGTATGCCTGTGATAATAGTCCCGACGTTCAAAATACGTTTCACCTTGGCCGAACCACGTGTGGCGCGAGAGTATTTTCGATAATTGTGTAACAACCGAGCGAGTAAAACGCATTATACGATCCTATATACATTTAATCGAGACACATTCACGATACGTAGACGGTAACATGCCAAGCGTTTCTAATGCGCCCGCGCTCGGGACAATGCGATGATAATTTATTCCGTGGATGTAATTTTTTTACATACGAGCCGCCGTACAATCCATCATGCTTCGTCAAATTGGTACAAGCACCTTGCGCTCTGCGGCGGAAACGTATATGCTCTGCCTCCTTTCATCTATTCCTCTTTTCTTTTCATTTCGAACTACCAACCTCGCGCGCGGATATCGCGATTGGCACGAAATTCGTCTCGTGAATATATAATGATTTTCCATGCAAATACCAATGCAGCTTGCGGCACAAAGTTTTTTTAAATAAATTTTGCATTATATTCAAAGCCAATTTCTTTATAGAAAGGCTAGCGACAAAGATCAATACCTTCCACAATTTTTTATAACATTGAGTAATAAATATTCTTAGCTTTAATTTATTATCAGCTCTAACTTAAGTTCATATTGAAACAATATTGCTTAATATTAAGTTACAGAGACCAAAAGTTAGGATAAATATTATACAAATTATCAAGGGAGAAGCAATAGCGCATAAATAATTTTAAATAATTTTCTATATATATAAAATATAGTAATAATAGCCTTAATGTCGTAACCGCAATGGAGATTAGCTGCAAACAATTTTTCCGATTTCGCATAAATGTATGAGCATTACGACCTGCATCACGATTCGCGTCGGTTATTTTAAATTTTGCTTTACTATTAATTTCTAGTCATCAACCCGCCATTGCTATTTTAGCGCACGCGTCACGCAGCTCTCTTGCTTTATGCTATGTCGGATCACCATTTTCTCCCATCAAGCCCTACGGAATAAGGATGATGGAAGAATTTCTTATGTATTAGTCTAGTAACTCATTAATCATACACGCCATGCGCCGAATATCTCGATTGATCGACGACGAGATAACCGCGTAATGAGCTCTGCTGCTCTTCTTGGTCCATTCTCTGCTCAAAAAGTTATTATCGCACTGTCCGATTAATTTATTCCGTCATCGTAAACGAATGAATACTTCAAATCACAGCGTTCTATTGCGCTGGTATTGGTTTTTCAATATTAGTGTCGACACGCGGACAAGTTACATATCGTACAAATTTAATATCGGATATTCTTCCAAGTTCTACATAAAGGAAACGTTCAATAAACTTTTCTCTGGCAGTCTCAAGTATTCCCAAAATTGTCAATTTTTGTATAGTCCTCGAAGTCACGTACGAACGGGACATCGATGTATGGATTTCTAAGGAGAATTTAACAAGCGAACCCTTCGTCAACCGTTGATAGCACGCTCGACGCGGAGTGTCTCGTAGCTAGGCGTATATTCTGTCGAGCGCAAAGTAATTAAATGCAGAGAGAGAGAGAGAGAGAGAGAGAAGGGGAAAGAAGGGGAACCGAGCCCGACAGAAGGGCTGGACAGACTGGTGGGGTTGGAAAGGCGAGGTAGGGAGGAAGGTAGCGAGGGCGTTCCTGAAGCCACTCCCCAGCGAGTCCTCCGGAACTGGAACCTGCCTGCCTGCCTGCCTGCCTGCCTGGAAACCCGTAGTTATATACCTGAACAAAGTGCACCTTGGCATGCAGGTAGACGCCGCGGCGCGTTGCATGCGCGCTCGTTACAGTCTCCTTCCATCTCTCTCGCTCCCGACATTCGCGCGAGTGTCCTCGACATTCTCCCACATGCAGTTCGTGTCGCATAACATTTCTCGCCGCTAACGTACTTACCTCCCTTTTTATTATGCGACAGAAAGCGCGCGGCAAGAATGCCAAAGAAACGATTAAAAAAAGGGAATGAGATGCAACCCGGTCTATTAATGCGTTCCAACTGTTATACTCGTAGGTATGTATATGATGTACGTTTTCCATTTGAACGCGGTAACTCTTGTTGTTCTTGCGTCGCGGCCTCTATTTTCAGGCGGATCAATTATTTAATTACGATAAGATAAACCTCCGACCATTTTATAATTGCTATTTACGGAAAACTGTAATAGTCAGCTCAATCGCTCTAACATTTTCGATTAAACGTCGTTATTGAGGATCGCAGACAATTTTTACAATGTAATTAAACTCTTTATAATTTGGCACTTGACGCGTTTAAGACCGTACGTCTTCAATTATGTTTTTTTTTTCATGGTACATGGCGATGAGATATTTCACGGTATATGGTGCGTTTCCAAAGGAATGGCCAGCCAAGTGCATTCGGTCGGCGTGTTTATGCTAATTAGCCGCGCAAAGGTGCGGCCAGGTGCGGCAGGCTCGGACTATAGTGAATGTTCGGATTGGCTCTTACAAATTGCCGCGTTAATTCGATACGCTTCCGACGTAAAGAGCCGAGCGCCAGATGTATTTAGCTGTTCTTGCCGCCACACGGACCAACGTAAAACATGCACAGCATGTGCGCCGACTGACTCTTTAATTGGTATCCGAAAACGGGATTTTGATCATCTCCGATAAACGTTCAACAAGATAAAAATTGCGATCAATATTCAGGCGAGGTAAAAGAACGCCGATTTCGATTATAAATTTGCTCGCTCAATGTCGCCTTTGATAGATAGAAACCCTTTCCGTTTTACCAAAGTATTACGTATAAAAATGAGAAAGATGAACAACGCAAATGTGAGCTTACCAGTTTCAAGGTCTACGGTGTAAGGAAGTCCTGCCCATGGGTCATCCTCCTGCGGCTCGGACTCCTTGTCATCATCCTAGAAATAACGATAGGTCCGATCGAACACAAAAATCTTATCACGAATATATCATATCTTTGTAATCATTAATCGCAGGGGAGATAAAGTTACGCGCAAAAGTAACAAGTAAGAATATCTCGCGAGACGAAAAATGTTGTAATAACGTGACTCGTCGTCGAAAGTAAAGTTTATCTAGCGCATTAATTATAATTGATCAATTAATAAACTGTAACGAGGAGCCAGTAAATTAGCTAGAAAATTAGATTGAAAGAGTAGCGCTGCGGTGTAATGAGCGCTGACCGTAATTAACGACGTTCTCGCATCTCTGAGAGGTGTCAAGGAGGGGGTGAAGGACCCGGCTCTCGTCCGAAGCGAGGCTCTCGAAGAGAGATGTGATCGGTACCCGGTGCTCGATCACAAGACGTAATTTCAACAAAGATGATTACGAATCCGTGGAGCTGACGAATTTGAAATGAAGCTCGCGCAACAATGGCCGAATTCACTCGAGCCGCTATTCGAATCGGCCAAGGTCGAGCCTTATAGAGACGTCATAATCAAGCGACCAGCCGACCCTACCGCCGACATGAAAAAGGGCCCAAGGGCGGGCGTATGCCCCGGGCCATAGGTCGCCCGTAGCGCGGCGGTACATGCGAGCTGCAGTGAAATGAGTTTAATGAAAACAGTATTGTACTCGATCATTAATCATAGCGAGTCCCTGATAGCGGCCATCCACAACCACCGGCTCCATCTCTCTCCCGCCCGCCAAAATCCGCCTCTCCGTCTCTCCTTCTCTCCTCGCCGCTCTCCCTTGCCATCCTCTCTCGAATCTTTCATCCCCCTCTGCCTACGCTCCGGTCACTTTTTCATTCAACGATATGATGTATCGTTGTTGAGTGGTGCGTTGCACTGAGCTCTACAGAGCTATGAATACAAAATTCAATCTATCCTAGCGTCCTAAAATCAAACTCACGCGAGACAAAAACGAACGCTTCACCATGTTCGAAATGTCATGGATTCGCAAACTTTTTTTCGAATTAAATTACAGCTTATCGCACAGACAATTTCTTCCCTTAACTTCTCTAGTATCTAACAAGCCTGGAAGGATCCTGTGTAAGATTGAGTAAAACCTGAGAAATTCTTTGTAAGCTTAAAAAGTTCTTGCATCTTAAAGGCGGTCCTAAAATATTTTTGAAGAGTCACGAACGTGTATAGCCGTGTGCCTTATTTTGGGCCCACAACGTCATCTCTTTCGACTCTCGAAGGAAACGTCGGTCCCGCTCGACGACGCAACCCTCGATGCGACAATGGAGGTCCTGTCAGCGATACGGACTTGCATGGCTGGCATAGCTCTCAATTAACGTTTACGAACTGTTACGACTGTCTGCCCCGATCAACCGCCTTACAAGGACCAGCGCGGATAGAAAGCATAATTCAAATCAGCCTTGATCGCCGCGAGTAAATACGAATTCAATATGGTATCGCGGTCGCTGGAGATATGGCGCGAGTCACGCTGCCTCGAATCGTATGTAATTCGCGATACGTTTCACATTTTGCGACTCGTCGTTCTGGATTTATTCTCAACTTGTGACGACTAAAGTACTCTGAAGAATACAAATTTTAACGTTTCAAAAAATTGTCTCTGGCAATAATTAAATATTTAAACAATTTCATCGGGAAAATCGTGTATACGAAATATCTTGTTAATCGTGAAAAAGTAGTAGCAATAGAAAAAGAAAATTCTAATAATTCTGCTGCCAATAAAAAGAGTCGCTTCGTAAGAAGATGCCAAAAAAAAGCTCCGGAAGTCAGATGTTGAAAACGCGATAAGATCATTGATATCACCGCACGAGCGCCATTTTGCTCCGAAATTCCAGCCGGAACGGAAACAATCGGGACAAAAGAAGGAAGCCAAACCCACTTCGGCTGGCCGGGCGCGTTTTCAATTTCCAGGACCATCAATACGTCCCTCGGAATACCCCTCCCAGAGTGCTCCAATCTCTCTGGCTCGCGAGTCCCCTCTCTCTTTATCCGCCGTCTCTCCTTCTCCCCCACAAGAAACGCCTCGTGGATCGACATCGTTCTTTCTCCCTTTCTCCTCCCTCTCCCCCTTTCTCGCTCTCCCTCGTCCTTTTTGGCCCCGTCTCTCTCTTCCGCTCCGATAGGTCCGTCGATGGCGCCCTTCGTACCGAGGGGGATGCTGCGTACATCTATCATTTTACCAGACCCTGCCGGCTTCACGGATACATCGCAGGAACAAATGAACGCTAGCCATTTTGATGGTTTTATGAATACACTCGGCGAGGATGGAGGACGGGGCGAGAGGATCTGTTGTTTTCGTCGAGATCCTCCTTCTGCATCGCACGGACCCCTCTTCTCGCCGCGTTCCGCCCGGCGAGCCACCGTCTTCGGAGCTCCTGGCACCGAGACGGAGTCGCCCTAATGGAGCCCGTCGCCTAGGAGAACTCGCTTCATTTGAATCGCGTCGGTGAATTAAAAATTCACGTCAGTCACGACAGCCCGAGAAAGCGATCTCCTACGATCGGGAATTAGGTGCCTCGCGGCGATTCATCCTGCGCCGATACGCGTCCGCGTTGAAACAACCCAGCCGAGCAAGGCGGTTCTGTAAGCGGAAATTGATCGGGCTTTGCATCGTGTTTGTTGCAGGCGTCTTCGCCCAATAATTACGAATCATCTCGGACCGATGAAACGCGCAACGATACGCGCGATCTAGTGATGCGCGACGACGTATCGAGAGTATCTCCATACGTATAAAGCGAATGTCGATCAAGATATCAAGACGAGTATTTATACAGAAACATCGATACGATGCTTTTTTTTCTGCCGTCGCATTTCTAAATGTAATCGACGGATCTTGCATTTTTAATTGATATCGATAATGTTTTTACAGACAGACACAAGCCGCAGACGTGTGCGGAAAATAAACAGACATGAAATCGAGGGGGACCGTGACCACGTCTGCTAAGCACGGAAAAATTTGTTGTCTTCGCGATGAATGCTTTCCATCCTGAATCGCTCGATCGAACTTCCTCTTTCCTACTTTCTAGATTGACGTTCCTCTAAACGCCTCCATAATTCATTCCCGTTTCGCAGCGAGACGGAGTCGCTCTAATGGAGCCTGTCGCCGCGACGTGCACCGATCATTTAAATCTTGGCTCTGGATTAAAAATTTTCGCCAGTCACGGCGGCTTGAGATAATTGTACAACAGAAACATGCAACGTGCTTTACAGCAATTCACTTGCCTAGCTTCTTCCTAGCGACATTAGCGGCCGTTATCGAATGGCGCGACATGTTGACAAATATTCTACATAGCAAGATCATTTATAGTGTTTTCATTGCACTGTTCACCTTAAAGCCGATGGTTGTAAGCTTTATGAAGCAATATTTCACTCAATACATACAATTTCAAATATTGATATCTATAAAAAAAAATGAAAAAATACGCTAGTAATGTTGTACCAGTAAACTTAAACCCGCCGGAATTAAATAAATTTGAAAATCGAAAAAGGACGAACACAATATGCGATTCAAGAGGATACGCACAGTGTCAAATTTTCTCATTATCACCTCTGACAGCGCGACGCCGAGTTTGAATCATTGCCTGCCTTTAGTTAAAACAATTCTGTGGCCAGACGTTGGAACAATGCTTGTCAATAATCTGTCGCAGTGCAAGATAGAGAGGGAGAAGGCGAGAGACTGGACTCCTCTTTGTTCTCAGCTGTTCGCGGATCGCGTCTCGGATCGATGTGTCGGCTTTCGATCGGGATCGAGGGTCTTCCCCGTGTTATTGGGCTCTCGAGGCGGCGGCGAGCCCTCACAAAGATAGAACCCGCTGGAACAATGCGATCTTCGCGGAGGAAGAGGCCGGTGGAGACGAAGCGGCGCATAGCGACGCCAGGAAAGAAATAAAGAAAGAAGAAGAAACGACGAGACTACCGAAGGTCGTGAGAAGAAGAGAGAAGCGAAGAAGCGGACGAGGAGAGGATGAGACAGAGAGGGAGACGAAGAACGTCGAGAAGTCTGATGGGCTACCCGCCCAGAACGTCGATGCAGCGTCATTGTCGGTGACCATCGTATGGATGAGATCTCGTAGGCTCGAATCTGCCGGATACTTAAACGCGCCTCGTGTCCATCCACCGAAACACGCCAAGCGAAGAAAAATCGTCAGTACCGAAAAACTTACTTGCACGAGGAGAATCAACTGGGATCCAATCAGCTAAAGAGCCTGCATTTTTCATAGCTTCAGATTACATTCGTGGTTAGAAAATTAAAATGAGCTGATTTGAGGATGATAATCGAATTCTACATGTAGATATCGAAACAATATTCTGTTCATCTTATTTTCAATTTAATTGCATATTACTCCAGTATTTTATTAGTAGAGACTTGATCGACTCTTCGGTGGAGGTGGAGAAAATAGGGGAAAGAGTCAGTTCCGTTGCTATCGTTTCTCGATAGTAATGAAAACAGATGCAATTCATGTCTGTCGTTAATAACAAAATATTGGCCAATAGATCTTCTTGTACAAAGAAACAAAAAATTGAAATCCACGGAAGAAATTGCAGCATCTTCATGTGAAAATAAGCAACTGCTGCATGCACGAAGATACATTTTTTGTAGGTCACTGATATAATATGGTTACATTGCAAGACAAAGCTACCTCGGTTTGGATGTGCGTATAACTCGAGGAAGACAAGATCGATGATCGATACGAGCAAGACTTGGAATATCGGCCGAGATCATATCCGAGAGGACGCGTGGGATGATTCCTAATCTCTCTCTCTCTGGGTCTACCGAACGTGACCGCCGGTTTCGGGCGGCTTAGTGTCTCCGATCGAGCGAGATCGATCATCCACGAGCGATTATGAGCGCAGAAACCCCATGCGCTAAAGAACCAGGATAAGAGAGTAATACTGTTTCTCGAAACAAAAAATAGAGTTCGCGAAAGATTCGCGGTATGTTGACGTTTCAGGACGGGTGCGCGTCCACTGAATAAGCTTTATGCGGCAATGCACGATGAAGAGATGACAAGGAGATAACCACCCTGTGCGCCGAATTCCACTGTTGATCGAGCTAGTAGTGTCATGTTTGTTTGATGCATCATCATCTATTTTACGAATCGATACGAATCTATCTAGGCATAGTATTTTGTCGGTATTTGCATTCTCAGCGCATCGCGATTAGCTAATATTCTGGTGAAAATACTTTCTTTTAATTAATCACAATGCAAATTTATAACATTCAAATCAATTATCACACAATTGATTTACACTCAAGAAAGAAGACGAAAAATATGAATAATAATGCTGAAATGTTTTCCAACACGTACATAAATACCCGGAAGCCAAATCTGGAAGTCTTTTTCTTCTGAAGCGCGTCACGGGGAATGTCGCTTCCTATTCGCACAATCCAATTGGTCGATGATTACCGGAGAGGCAGGACGGAAAGCGTGCGACGCGACGTCGCGAGGCATTCTTTATCGTACAGGTGCACGTCCGAAGCTTTCTATCTGCGATAATCGTCCGGGGGACACAGGAAGACATCAATGGGCCCGTTGGCATATGGAGAAACGAACGTTTAAATTGAGTCCAAGGAAGCAAACGCGCTTCCTTCTAACACGCGTGAAAGCAGAAAGCGACGCATTCTCGAGAGACAATCGCTCGTTAGACGCTGTGATTGGGTGCTCGAAACAACTGGAAATCCGTACAATCGTGCGAGTTCGAAAAATGAACAACGTAAAATTCGAATAGCGCGAGATACCGATCGAGAGGGAAGAGAGTAAGAAAATAAAAGCCTTTTCGTACCTTTCGATAAGTGGCATTAATAGCTTCTAAAGCTTTCAGCTTCTCGATTTCGTCCGCAGATTCTTTTTCAGACGTCGACGGCTTTTTGGTGGGCGTCGTGGTCGGTTCCACCAGCGTGAATCCCAGATCCACATCCTGCTTCCAAAGAACCTCAATCAGGTCCATATCCTGAAATCGAGAATAGACGTGATATTATTATACTAATTTAATTTGTTCTTCCATTCTCAGTGCGAAGTTCCAATAATCGATATTATGCACTAATAATTTATTATTTCACGCCAATTTAATTTGACGCATAGTCCTTTAAAACAAAATGTACCTATTGTAACATACTTTTTTCTTTTCACTATCTTGCAGGAACGAAAGAGAATACATGCGGGTTTCACTTTAAATGCAAATCGAATACACGCGAGTTATACGGGTGGAAGTTTTGTCTCATTTTGATACTTAATTCCTTGATACTCATTCAGAAATTATATTAAAGAGCACTATAATTGTCTCTATTTGTCTACCGACACGTACTTTAATACGACACTTTTGTCAAGTACGTAGAAGAGAAATTCTTAACAGGTGTACATTTGATTAAAAAGAGGAGACGATCGGAGACATTTGCAGGAGGGTGACGATAGTCAATTTTAAAATCAATTTTGTCTCATTAACACGCATGCCCGATGCGTTATTTAATTTTACGACGCGCTCCCGACTAGCGCTTACAATTAAAATAAAATTGTTGCGCGAAAGTAATCATAATACCGCTACCATCCTTCGAAAAGTCGCACGATTAATGTTCCGATGCTTCCACAACGGAGTGCCCTGCGCGCGCGGCGCTTTCGTTTGTGTTTATTTTACATAAGTTAATAACATCTGGCCTCGATCGCCGTTCAGGCCCAGTCTCGATCTCCGAGATTCATTTTTGTTGCGTCTCGGATGTCCCTCGCAGGGAGTCCCATCGACGAGTGTGTACAAAAGTGCATGATTAATGATGGTCGAGTATCGATGCATCTCGAAATGGAGGAGATCGAAGAAAGGACCCGGGAGAAGGGACCAATCACATGACGGGGCACAATCCTCGGGGCAGCTGCCCCGTGGGTTTTAATCGAGCCAATTTCGCCGAGTTCGTACTTTGAGCCTCGTTAACCAATCTACGGATTTTCCTCGCCAATCTAAAACCCTCTCCGAACTCGCGGCGCATACATGAAACGATTAACATGTTCGCAGGGAGATCCGATCTATGCGCCAGTTTGTATAAGTACCGTGGGAAAATTGTTGCTCTCGAAAAATGTCGATTGCGATATTTTTAGCGATTGCGCGGCCAGGGTGTGTTTCTTCTTGTGGGAAAAATGATGGACCCTTTCGTACAAAAAGTAGTTTTTTTTTGTAGAAAACACAAGTGCCATATAACAATTAAAGACCATATGATACTTAATTATGTAATGTTAACTTCCTGATTTTTACTCTTCCTGCTGTTAGCATTAAGGTAATATCTAAAACCTAAAAATGTTTGAGTTGCAAGTTTAGTATAAACGGGAATCACGGCTTTATTGAAGATACACTGCCTTTCGCATTTCTTGCTCGCTGTTTCCCCGTTTACCGATAAACCGGCGCCAAAGCGTAACGCTTGCTGGAACCGCCATGTTTACGGATTAAGTGTGTAGCGGGACATATGCGAGCTCTGGCGAACGGCAGGCCTTTTCCGCGGCACTTCCGCGTCAATTATTGTTCGCGGACGCGTGTTTAGGGTCCAGGCATTCCTATTGTATTCAGCGCTCGTTACACGGTGCTTCATGGGCGTTCTCACGTGGTACCATACCGCGGATACGCCGATACTTGAAACTGTAGCAATAGCTTTCGCCTCGTCAGCAGCCTGCACGTGGGCTAAAACGGCACGATTCTTGTCGAAGCATCGGCGAGAGGACAGGAAACCACCACGCTGTATTCATACGACGAGCACGTAAGTGCGACGTGTGTACGTCCACGAGGAAGAAGCGGCGACTCTCGTAACGCGACTCTTGTCAAAAACGTTACGCGAAGGGACATGGGACGAGGCTCTTCGCGTAATGCCTGAATAGACAATTGAATCAGGAAGCGATTAGATTTGATTCTCTCGCGCTGGACAAGCGCAAGCAACTCGATCGCGGCCTGTTTAATGCCCCGGAATAGTCCCTTCATTATTCAACATGGTTTTTCCTATTTCCTTTCACTCGAGGCTTCCCTCGACGAAGGGATAATGTAGGTATCTCAAGAGACCAAGGCACATGCAGCGAGAGGACCATGACGTTTCCGCGGGATCGTTAAAAATACCACACATAATGTGTATCTCTCGGCGGTACCGGGCGTTTTGAACTCATTGTAAACTCGTTGTATACAAGCAACTTGTACGGAAAGTTATGCAAAATCAACTTTGACGAAATATTTCCTTTCCCTCGAGGCTTTCCTCGGCGAAGGGCTAATGTATTTTGAGAGACCAGGCACATGCAGCGAGAAGACCATGACGTTTTCGCAGGATCGTTAAAAATACAGTACATAATGTATTCCTCGACAGTACCGGAACTTTTCAACTCATCGTAAAATCGTTGCGTACGAGCAACCTCTGACTGAAAGTTATGTAAAATCACCTTTAAAACAATTTCAGCTTCGGCGAAATATTTTTAACGATTCGGCCTCTAATGTCTGCAAATATACGTAATACATAAATGCTGACGCGTGTATACAACAACCGCAATTTACGCGTTCGCGAACGCGAAGCGAGAAGGTAGCGACGTGATTTTCTCGATCGCGAAATATCACCCTCCACATCCAATCCTCCATTACTGCGCCCGCGCTCCTAATTAATCAGCGACCGCGCTCGCCGACGTGCCCCGGCCGGCCAAAGACAAAGGGACCGCGGCGCCATTAATCTCTCGGTATCGTTATCGGCGATCGCGAATTTGCGCGCGGGCCGCGGCCGCGGTCGCCGCGGTCGCCGCGGGGGGATGTAACGGATACGATTCCGTGCGGGCGTAGCTTTGTAAATTACTTCGCTGACCGTGTAATTCGATGCGGCGAGAATCGAGAAAGGGGAGATCGGCGGTCAGTGGGAGGCAGAGAGAAAGAGGGAGGGGGAGAGGGAGAGACACGGCGTGGGTGTGCGTATGACGTCGGCCATGCTGGAGAGACACAGCGGGATATCCGCCGCGCCCACAGCTGGGCTCCGCGGCGCGATGTCAAGAGTTAGGTATCTCTCGCTCGGCCCACGTTTTATACGGCGCAGCGCCGCGCTGCGATGCACGGTGCACGCACGCTCGCTCGTCCTCTCGCCGCACGCGGGCCCGGGTATCGACGCCCTCGATTTCTACTCGATTTACATCGGCGGGCCGGACCGGGCCCGCGCCGAAAAAAGACTCCGCGCGACCGTCCGGATCGAAACGATCTTCGACGACGGCCGGCTTTTGTGGCTCCTCGGCGGGCGAAAATTTATATTCAATTTGTATTCGAAATGAAAGGCGAGCCGATGATATACGAGGCGAATAGTTGTCACGTATCTTGGCTAGATTAAAAGAACGTGGTTATCTTATCAGGCGCGCGGATCTATAAGTTCGAAATTGGCGAAATCGCTGTGTCAGTAATCGCGTAATTTATAAGAATAGGATATACCCGATCGAAAATGGCTGATACCTCGAAATTCCGGGGCCATGAATGGTGCCGGCGAGAAGATTCGATCAGAGAAAATCACCTGGTGAGACCTCGCCGGCGCAAAACGACGACGTAAAGGCAGAAGATGTATCTGAGGATCAGTAATTACATGAGGTGGGCTCGTAATGGTCGGCCACCGTTTATCTAGCATCGCCCGTCCCCCCGATTGAATCGGATGTGTCGCGGATAGGTTTCGCGAGGCCGCGATGGCGAAACGGCGCTCCGATACACCGTGCGCCAAACGTATCTCCGCGAGTTATCTCGGAAAAAGCGATTGTTTTTGTGTGCGGCCATAACAGGTGCAACGCTCCCGTTATTTCCGCGATTCTCACCGCAAAAGAGACGAATCCCTGCTCGCGGCTATCGCCGCGCGTATCGAGTAATTACAGCCGGGCATCGATACGTTCGACTCTCCGTAACTGTAAATATAATTGCAGCCCGTCAAGTCCAAAAGGATCAAGTCCGACTTTTTACCCGCGACTTCGGGCGAACAATAAGTAGAGCTTGGCAGCCGTTTCACGCTGATTGTATTACCTCGGAAGTCGGTTGCAATTAAAACAAAATGAATTGTCAAAAGGAGGATAATTAGGCATGCCCAGGGAACGCATCCGTTCTTTCGTGATATTCGGCTAATTGTCGTACCGCGCGACGGTTCGGAGCGATCGCGAAGAAAAAAAAAGTATCGCCATTGGCGATAATGAGAGACACAATGGTCTATATCTGCGATTCTTGACGACGTTTTCTTCCTCGAGCAAAACCACCGTCGTCGAGACATGACCACGCAACTTTCTAGTTTTCGTGCGAGTCGATGCACTTGTCCTAATTCACGGCTCTCCTAAAACCGTTCGAGCGACTCTCATCGGCGTTGCGTTTTTATTTATCTTTCAATTGTGCGGCTCAGACAGTTTCTTCCACTTCTCGCTCGTTTCTCTATTTCCAGCTAAGTTTCTTGCAACGCTAGATTATTACGATGACTGAGAAAAAGAATGTGGATATCAACGATTAATTATTTACTCAAAAGTTCTAATTTCCACGTAAGAGATCTCAAGTTTTGCAAAAGATGATTTAGAATACTAACACTTAAATCTTCTGTATGCAAAAATAAAATTAAAGGCGTTTTAATATAAAACTGTAAAAATCAATAATATTGTAAAAAATATAGATAACTGCTTCACGAGCGTCTCGTAGATCTATGGAATCAATGGATGAAAGGCTAAGTCCTTTCAGCGATATAAAAAAGATTCACGAATATTATTAATCTCATTATTGCTTATGCCACGGCTTTCTTCTGTCTAATCTGGCATTTGTATTTCGAACCTTCCGGAATATCACCGGGCTATTCACCGACAAACAATCTGTCAGAATGGTGTAATCGATTATGGACAATAGAGAGATTTAACGTTGATGATCTTTACCGTTAGGTTAGCCAGATATTGTATGCAATTTTTCACGCTACCCTTTCGTCCCCAAGGAATTGACAAACCGTCACAATGCCT